AATCAATCCAACAACATATATAATGTGTACTATATCATAATTGTAATTTATATTAGAAATGCAAGGGGGCTGTTCAATAATCAAAAAATATTTAAATTCACCAAATCCACAAGGGAAAAAAATCTATATATTATGGTTTGGATATGAGGTGTCCCCCAAAAGCTCACATGTGAGGCAATGCAGGAACATTTATGAGAGCTAAAACCTAATCAGCAAATTGATTCATTTGATGAGTTAATAATTTGAAAGGACTACTGTATTAGGTGGTGACTATAGGTAGGCAGGGTGTGGCTGGAGGAAGTAGGTCACTAGAGTGTGCCTTTGGGGTTTATATTTTGTCCCCCATGAACAGAGTTCTCGCTCTGCTTCCTGGCTGTCACATCCTAAACTGCTTCTCTCAGCCACACCCTTCCTCCATCTTGTTGTGCCCCATCTTGAGCTATGGAATTGGCTGACCATGAACTAAACCTCTAAAATCGGGAGCCAAAATAAGCTTTTCCTCCTCTAAGTGGTTCTTGTCAGATCTTTTGGTCACAGTGACAAAAAGCTGACTAAAACACTACTATAATGTCAACCAATACTTGTTTAAAAAAAAAAAAAAAAGTACTGAAAAATTCAATATTCACTTGTGATTTTAAAAACTCTCACTAAACTGGGAGTGGTAGCAAATACCTATAATCCCAGCAGCTCAGGGGGCTGAAGCTGGAGGATCACAAGTTCAAGATCAACCTCAGCAATTTAGTGAGGTCCTAAGCAACTTAGTGAGACCCTGTTTCAAAATAAAAAATTGAAAAGAGCGGGGATCTGGCTTAGCGGTTAAATGAGTCTGTCTTCCATCTCCAGTACAAAAACAAAAAAAACTCTCTCAGTAAATTATAAGAAAACTTCCTAACCTAAAAAAATGACAAAACACAAAAACAGAATTACAAAATAGAAATGCTTCCTCAGTCTGATAATGGGCATCTATAAACACATCATACTGAATGATAATAGACAGTGATTTTATCCAATATTACAAAGCAAGTCTGCTCACCATTCCTATAAGCAGCATACAGACTGGAAAAGAAGAAATAAAACCATATTTTCTGTTTGCAGATAACATGACTGTCTATGAGAAAAGACTTCTCTTAGTCTCTATGTCCATATGTAGATATATGACTATCTACAAAAAACTTAAAAGTTCCCAGAATTAATAAGTTTAGGAAGTAACAGGGATGTTATTTTTAAAAATTAATTGTATTTCTACATATCAGCAGTGAATAATAAAAAACTAAAGTTAAAAAAAAAAAAATCTACAACAGCACCAAGAAACCAGAAATACTTAACTAGATATAATCCTAATGAAAAGTGTACAGGATCTGTATGTCTAAAACTGCAAAACAATGATGAAAGACATCAGAGAACTAGGAGATACACCATGTGTATCAGTTAATAAGACTCATGTTGTAAAGCCATTAATTATCCCCAATTGATCTATATAGAGTCAATCCAATCCCAATGAAAATCACAAATTTTTGGTGGGGCAGGGACAGTAAAAACTGCCAAGTTTATTCTAAAATTTATATGGAAATTTGGCATGGCAGTGTATACCTGTAGTCCCAGCTACTTGGGAAGATATAGGAAGATTACTTGGAAGCTCAAACCTGGACACGTGGCAAGACCCCATCATTAAATAAATAAATAAAAGTTAAAGAACAAACGGAAAAAAAAAAACCCAGAAAAACAACCACCACCAAAAAAAAGGCAAAGGAACTTGCACAGCCAAAATTATGTTCATTTTTCTCCTGTTTTAAATAATAGATTTGGAGGATTTGCACTAGTTGATTTTCATACTTAACATAAAGCTACAGTAATCAATAGCAGAAGTCACATAGTAGACACATACGTAATTCAATTAAAAAGATGAGGGAGTCCAGAAACAGATGCAAACATACATGGTCAACTGATTTTTGACAAGGAAATTAAATGGAGAAAAAAATACTCTTCAACAAAATGGTTGCTCAAAATATTAGACATCATATGAAAAAAATCCTCTGCCTATCTCATACCACATACAAAATTTAACTCAAATACAACTTCTAGAAGAAAACACAGGAGAAAAAAAAAAACTTTTGTGACTTTAGATTTGGCAAAGATTTCTCAGATACTAAACCAAAAGCATGATTTATGAAAACAAAAGTTAAACCAGTCTTTTCAAAATTTAAAACTTATATAGTCTGCAAAAGATACTGTTATGAGATGAAAAGGTAAATCAGAGGCTGGCCAAAAATATTAGCAAAATAAAACCTCATAAAGAACCTGTATCCGCCAGGCATGGTGGTGCACACCTATAATCCCAGTGGCTTGGGAGGCTGAGGAAAGAAGTTCGGAGTTCAAAGGCGGCCTCAGCAAAAAGCGAGGCACTAAAGCAACTCAATGAGACCCTGTCTCTAAATAAAATACAAAACAGGGCTGGGGATGCGGCTCAGTGGTCAAGTGCCCCTGAGGAGTTCAATCCCTGATTCCCACCCACCTCAAAAAAAAGAAAACCTGTGTCCAGAATATAGAAAGAACTCTAAAAACTCCAACTTCTGTGCATAATTAACAGTGAAAAGGTAATAAATGAATGAAAGAAAATGTTTACAAATTATATATCTGGTAAGTGGTTAATATTCAGAATATATACATAACTTCTACAACTAAAACATAAACAACCTGATTAAATTATGGACAAAGGACTTACACATGTGGTAAATTTTATGTTACATATTTTAGCACAATTTTTAAAACCCCCATAATAAGCAAACAATAAAATTAAAAATGGGCAAAATACTTGGAAAACATTTTACCAAAGAATATATACGGATCACAAAAATAAGCAGGTACTCAATATCACTACAGAAATGCAAACTAAAACTGCAATGCAATATCACTAGGTATCTATTAGAATGACTAAAATTAAGGGGGAAAAAACCAAAAAATATCAAGTATTGACAAGGATACTGAGCAAGGAACTCCTCCTATACATTACTAGTGAATATGAAAGGTGACACAGAGTTTGGCAGTTTCCTACAAAATTAAAAAATTACCACATAACTCATAGCCATTCCATTACTAAATATTTACTACAACAAATGCAAAATTATGTTCATATTTTAAAAATCTGCACATTACAGAAGATTTATTCATAATCAACAAAAACTATAAACTCAGTATACCACACAACTAGAGAATGAGTAAGTTATTATACATTCATATAATGGAACACTAGTCAGCAATAAATAGGAACTAACTACTAATAAACTACATCATGGAGATCTCAAATGCTGTTATGGTTTGGATATGTGTCCCCTAAAAGCTCTTGTATTAATGCAGAAATGTTTGGAAGTGAAATGATTAGATTATGAGACCTGTGACCTAGTAAATCTATCCTAATTTGAATGAATGACCTGGGAGGTAAATGCAGGAAGAGGTGTGACATGGCTGGAGGAGGTGGGTCACTGGGGGCATGCCCTGAAAGGGTCGTTTTTTTCTGAGGCACTATTCCTCCCCCAAATCATGCTACCACCTTACCTTGTGCTCAGAGCAATAGTTGGTCATCTATGGACTGAGGCCTCTGAAACTGTGAGCACCAAATAAACTTTTCCTCCTCTAACCTTCTTGTCAGGTAGTTTGGTCATAGTGACACAAAAGCTGACTAAAACAAATGCATTAGTCTAAACTGTAAGAATCCATTTATATGACATTCTGGAAAAGGCCAAAGTATAGGAACAGAAAACAGATCAGTAGTTGTTAAGGGCTGGGGCCAAGGGGACACAGATGACTACAATGGACTTAAGTGAAAATTTTAAGGTGATAGAGCTGTTCTGTTTTGTAACTGTGGTATTGGTTACATGACTATGAATTCAGAAGTGTACACTAAAAAACTTTATTGTATAAATTATACCAAAATAAAAGTAAAGGTAATAAGACAAATAAATGTAGTATGATAAAATTATACTAAATCATCATCTTGATAATCAAACAGTCATAAGGAATGAAGTTACTTTGTGCTTAATCATATATCTGACTTAAATATGCTAAAAATGAACACATTTCAAACCACAAGATGTTTTACTTTAGCTTTATAAATTAAAAGTTAATGTTAGGATTATTTCATTTTGTAAAGCACCAAAATGTCAACTATATCCTAACTGAAATCATTGTTTTTGAATATTTACCCATTATCTGTTATGTGCAGATTTAAACATTCATGAGATAATTAGGTAGGGTCCAAGAACATAATTCTCCCCCTTTCCAACTTCCTAATAATAGTTAACAGCTAGTAGATATAAGTGTGAAAATATGTCGTATATTTAAATATTATTCTCTGTCTTTCTATACTTTCTCTTAAAGAAGAGGGTAATCAGTAAAGTCAGCTCTTTGGAGAGGCATTTATGTTATGAATTAGTAGAGCAGGAACTGGTGCCATTACCCCATTTTAAACATGTGAAAAACACAGTTTTACAGTGGAGATTGGATCACTTGCCCATTTCTTTAAAAAAAGAGGCAGAACTAGGATTCAAATCCAGGACAGTTTCACTTCAAAGTTCTTTAAGTTACGATTAATCTTTCACAAGTCAGCAATTGTTTGAGCAATAGCTAAGGTACATATTTCAAGATTATATGCATGTCCTGGTTTAATTTTAAACCTCACACTCTGAAAACACGTATACACACTCAGAAGAGTTGAACCAACACTTTATAAATTACACTAATGTACATACAGTCCTTGATCATTCAAATCAGGAATAAAAATGACAAATCTACAAGTAACAACCAAAAGGATATATGAAAAAGTAATCATGCTCACTTTTGACCTTAATAAAGAATTTATTGCAACTCTAATTTTAAACAAAAGAATATAGAAAAATTTTCCCCTTTCTTCTGGTTTCCTGACATCTGGCTTTCCTCTATTGTTTTCAAAAGCTGCCAGTATCCTGAGTTGTAACACAAGATTATTTACTGCAACAGAAACTCACCCTGTGAAGCGTCACTGTGTGTTGTTCCCATATAGCTGTTTCCTCCATTGCTGTGCTCTGATAAAGGAAAAGAAAAATAAAACATTTACCTCTTAAGAAAATGTTTTCCATCAAGTGAACAAGAACATCCAGTAAACAATCACCACAATAAAATACCAAAATTCATACTATTAATATTAATATATTCTGAAAGAAGCTTAATAATTATGAAAGGTTTTTAGTTTGCTTTTGTTTTAAGAGACAGGAAACTACACACAGGAACTTCCTTTGTTTTTAACTTACTCTCTGGACAGATGCTGCTCTATACTAGTTTTCTGCCAGCTAAAATAAGTGTTCAAGCTAATTTGAACAAAAATCAGAATGCTTCTATTTTGAAATATCTAATGATACATAAACATTTGAAAGCATACCTTGTGTTCTGCAAAGGAAAGAAAAGCTAAATACCTCTGAATTCAGTAACATATGTGTATATATGTGTGTATGTGTAAAAGTGTATATGAATTAGTAAAGCATCAATTGGTGCCATTACCCCCATTTTAAACATGTGAAAACCACAGCTTTACAGTGGAGATTGGATCACTTGATCATTTCTAAAACAAAGATGGTCCTGTGTGTGTATGTATGTGTGTGTATATATAAAAAACATAAGACCATCTGATAGGTTTGGTCAATGTTGCTTTATATCACAAACACTACTGCTTCATAGTTTTAGTTTTACTACTGAATTACCTTCTTCAGCTTCATTTATAATCATAAATCCAATATATGCATCACACATGTATATACAAACACAAGAAACAACAAAAAAAATTTAACAACAATCCCCCATTCCAAGTATCATCATAAAATAAAGGCAATGCAAGCTTCAATATAGGTCATACTCAATTCATAGTATAGTTCAGTTTCATCTCCTGTCATGAACTCTCATGAGGAAAATAGTTACCTAAAGGATAAATGCTAAAAAATTCAAAATAAATTTCTTTAGAATTGGTCAACTGCTCTAGGAGGTTCAACCTTACTGTTAAAATTTTATAAAATTAGGGTTCCTAAAAATGTATTTATTTTTTAAGTAAACTCAATAAAAGATCTTTCAGAGATACCAAAAGAGAGGGTAAAAGGGAAGAATGCTGAATACAACATTCTCAGAATATCCCCCATCATCTATTATTATAAATGCTTATTTCATGGGGCTGGGGATGTGGCTCAAGCGGTAGCGCGCTTGCCTGGCATGCATGCGGCCTGGGTTCGATCCTCAGCTCCACATACAAAGATGTTGTGCCCGCCGATAACTAAAAAATAAATATTAAAAATTCTCTCTACCTCTCTCTCTTTAAAAAAATAAATAAATAAAAATTAAAATAAATAAATAAATAAATGCTTATTTCACAAGTGAGATCTGTTTTCTGTTATAGTGCTGTCATTAGCATCATGAGACTATGTCCATCAAGGTGCCATGGGCCCATTTCTCCTTTCCCACAGCAGTTTTAATTGAAGATTAATGCCACTTTAGAAAAACAAATGCTTATAAAGAAAGCCTACTTTTCCTAAATTCAAAGCAACTAGATTAACTTCCCTGCCAGATGAATAAGAGAGGAGAGAGAAAGGATCTCTCTGTTCACTCCCATAGATAAGAACTGCCAACCTTAGGAGCGGTTTTGTTTCAATCTTCCAATCAAGTGCAGCAAACTCTCTCTTTAATGAGACCTCTGCTGGAAACAAAGCTGTTTTGTCTTTTTTTTAACAAAAACTGACCGGGATTCAACGAATTTTTAAAAAGAAAAAGAAAAAACCTGCTCTACCATTGTGAAGCAATGATGGTATTAAAAACTCCTCTATCAATATGAAGCAATGATGTTGTATCAGCTAAGCACTAAAATTATACCAAAATATAAGTGATAAAAATATCTGTAATAATTGCCAATCTCAGCTGACATTAAGAATGAAAACTGCTTGCATAGCTCTAAGCTGGTCTTTTCTTGATCCACTTCCAGTAGCATTGCTTCACTGCTTTTTTAAATCCATGACCTATCAGTCCAAACTGTAAGTGATCTGACAACTAACAGACACTTTCCTTGATAACATACTCTTTAGTATGAAACAGTTTATCATCCTCCATATGGTTTAAATGACCATACAGTTCATTTAATGTTAGGGTAAGAAAGCAGGTTATGAAACAGTTTGTACATTTTAAGTTTGTTTAAACATGGGGGAGGGAGACTGAAAGGGACCCACTAAATGTAAACAGTGATCATTCTCAAAATGAAGGGACTGTGGGTGACATTTTTTCAACAGGTGTTTTCTCTTTTTTGCTTTCCTTACTCTATTCTCAAACAGAACACACTCTTCACCAAATTCCACTCCTACTTGAAATTTCAAATATTTACTCTATTTTGGTTTTTAGGAAAATCAAATAATGTTGAAGAGGATTATTTTATGTCTTATTGTTAATTATAAAAGAGAGTTGGGCTAGGGTTGTGGATGGATCAGTGGTAGATTGCTTGCCTACCATGCTTGAGGCACTGAGTTCGATTCTTAGCACCTCATATAAATAAAAGATCCATCAACAACTAAAACAAACAAACAAAAACTTTAAAAAAGAGTTTATTCTACTGTTATTAAGGATTCTACACATTAAGGTCTTATTATACAATCTCCAAGACTGCAGTAAGAGAAATTTAAATTACTTTTTTGTACAAGCTAAGGGGAAAAAATAAAATATACCAAAATATAACTGTTCTCCATATTCCAATTAACATGATTTTTTTGAGGGAGGAATCAGACAAGTATACTTCTCAAACAACTCAATGGTTTCCCCAAAATGATAATATATCTCACTCTTCTGTTAAAGTCAAAATGAGCTTTTATTAGCTTGATTTAGTTCTCTGAAAGGAGACCCATGTAAAAACATGAAATATCAAAAGGAATTACTAGTTACTGTCTTGACCAATACACTAAACCAATTTAATCCATGAGTTACTACACCTTACCACTCTTTATCATCATTAGCTTTAAAAACAGAATAAGTATTTCTAGTTTAAACCATAGACCTTGTCTTCTCTTTCCACCCTCTATCCTTTCATTGCATCAGTGGCAAAAGCAGAAAATTCTGTCTCTTTTTTTGGTACAATAAGGCAATCCTTGAGGAGTTCTGAATGAACTGAAGGATGGTTAGATGGATAACACATAGGCATGGAATGATACCAATATAGTAAAATGATAGTGGTAGACTCTCAATGGTCAGAATTCAGAAATCTACTATAAAATTTCTTTAACTTTGTTACACTTGAAAATGATAATGATAAAATGCTGGGGTTAAAAATTAGTAAATCATTCAGAAATTGAAACTAAAATTGACTAAAAATATTTTGTACCAGTAAATTTACTAAGAATTATTTTAATGGGGACTATATACAGAAAAAAAATAATCATTAATAACAGAATTTTGATGTTTTAGAAAAGGGGGCTCTTTAGAAAGATGAAAGAAACAAGAGCCTCTGAAGTACAGAAATAGAAATCAGGGTGGGGAATCTTAGTACTATGCTCCGTTCTGCACTGTTTTATAATATTTATCTATTACTTAGGCAAATAAATGATTTTCAAAACTTAATATTTTTGCGGTAAACTTGCTTAAAATTTGCTTTATTTTAAAAAATGCAGAATGAATAGTTGCATAACTTGCACAAGGATCTTCTGCTAAATCCCTAGTCTCATTTTCAAAGCACTTCAACTTGAACTTGCTCAGAAATAATGAGTCCAGAGCCCAAATCTGTCATAAACTAGAAATGTGACCTTACTTTTTACTCTCCTATAAAATTAGGAAACTGGACAAGATTATCTCAAGTAAAAAGGTCTTTCCAGTTCCAAATTTCTATAAAACTATAATGTCAAAGAGCAGGCTAAAAATTAAATGATCAGTGAAACATGAAGGCATCAAAAGTGACTGTAATTCGTGGTTGCTAGATTAGTTCTGCATACATTTCTACAAAGTCAGCACCAACTGACTAGAATCACAATTTCTGAAGAAGCAAAAAGCTGCATTTCAGAATCTGCCAAGAGTTTGTTTGGTTCGTTTGTTCTAAGCTCCAGCTGGCAAAGACACTACTCAGATCACCAACTCTAAAGGGCTTCCTGCCAAAACTCCAGGTCCCAATTCTAGGCAGTTTCACCATTCTTTAGGACTGATTACAAATCAAATGAGGAAAGACAGGAGGGCACAAGAACTGAGAAGACAGCTGCTTTGATATGACAGAGTTGTATAATTTGTGGAATAGGGAAGGGGGTTAAAAAGAGAAGTTACAAAAGTACCACATCACAACAAGCCTTATGATGTAATGCCAAGGATTTTAAACTCAATAGGAAGACACTAATAAATTTTAGATATCAAATATAGTCAAAATTCATTATAAAGACTATAATGTGGAATATGGATTTGAAGCAAGAAGACCAGATAGAAAGTTAAAGTGAAAAGATGGGAAGAGTTAAAAATGACTTGTTCGGAATTAAGCAGCTGAGTGGAAAGGCAGGAAGACTTAAAATGAAGTTTCAGAAATGCTTAATTTAAGGTGCCTATGGAACCATCAGAGCAGACATGGCAAGTAGCCACTGGATATACAGGTTTGAAAATCAAGACTGAGAGTAGATATGATCTAAGAGTAATTAACAAGGTAGCATCCTGGAAACCTAAAGAAAAGATCCAATTACCAAAGGACTAAGATAACCCTGTGGACTACAATATTTTGGGGGTTAAAAAAAAAAAAAGGAAGAACCAAAGGAACTTAAGAAGGAGCCACCAGTAAGGGTACAAGAAAATCAATGGAGCTAATACAAAACATCATTTATTATCCAGAGAATACACTAAAACAGGAAATACAAACTGAAGATCTCTCAATTTGAGAACAATATATCTTATTTATCTGATATCATAAAAGAACAAAATTTCCATGAAAATTTTAAAAATTAGACCCTTAAACATTACTAAATACATACCTAAAACAGATTATTCAGCATGCTAAACAATTTCCTAATGACTTGTATTCCCCCACTAGGAAACCAAGTAG